TGCCCCGTCCCCGTCCCGGTCCCCGTCCCCGTCCTCACCCCATCCCCGTCCCCATCCCGGTCCCGGTCCCCGTCCCGGCTCCGGCTGCGTGCGGGGCGGCGCGGGCGCGGAGCCCGGCCCCTGCCCTGGCACCGGGAGAGCCGGCGGAGAGCGAGAGGAAGACTCCCCGCGACGGGCAGGGAGCGGCCGGGAAAAAGAAACTTCAGGCCGGCAGGAGAAGGGAAACCGAGAGCGGCCCCGGAGGAGGCGGCCGGGCCGCCGGCGGAGGCACCGCGCTGCTTTCCGCCGGCGTCTGCCCTCGGCAAAAGAAAAATTAAAGAAAAAGAAAAAAAAGCAAGCATATGCGCATGCCTACTGTTGGAAAGCCTGTGACCAGCTGTTTGCGGCTGTCAGGCTGAGGGAGAGCACAGCGAGGTAATACAAATAAAGGCATGGCTCTACCCCCTCTTCCCTTTTGCCCCCAGAAATCCCTGAACTGGATTTACAGGCTGTATCCTGGTTTTTAAAAGACTGAAAAATAATTTTCTACAGCAAGGCAAGACCCTTATATGCTCTGAGCAAGTGCTTGCTCAGCTGCTAGCATTAGTATAGCTTGGGAACATCAAAATGAGGTCTGCCTGACTGCCCTGTAGCAGGGAAGTGAGCACCAAAGGATAAGGCTCACAAAGGGGGCCAACAGGTTGCAGAGCTGAAAGCACCCACAGTTCAGAAGTGCTGCTAAACATGTCAACTCCATATGCGAGCTTCCCTCTAACCATTAATGTATACAGTGGATGCATCCAGCTGTTTGCAGCTTCATAAATCTCATATTCAAATAGATGACTAACAGGTACTGGCCCAGTACAAGATACCTGCTTTCTAAAGCCGTGGCAACACAAGGCCACTGAAAGATGGGCTTGCACTGGAAGGATGTGGGGGGGAGGCAGAAGGAAGCGCTACCATTGGCATCGCATTTTCTACTCTGTTCTAGTCCATCTTTACTCTCAAGTATTTAATATTCTTTCTTTCTCTTGAGTCTGCTCTTTTGTCTATTCCACCCAGTTCTAAAGGGATTATAGGAAATCTCATTTGAAACATCCCCTGTACCACCATGATGTAGTATTGTTGGCCATTGTCCTCTCAAAGGGCCCTAGGGTAGGAAAGACTTGCATTTGGACTTTTAGTATTAACCCTACATGGTGAAATGGACCAGGTAATGTCACACTCAGCTGAAGGTCATCCACCCCTAGCTGGGGAAATGTCAAACAACCGGGAGAGGACAGCTTCTATGGCAAGAAAAAGACAGATGAACAAGCCCTAAATGGCAGCATCAGTCACCTCTCCATTCTTTCTACGTCCCTCCTGTGTGCCCCTCCTGTGCTGTGAGCAAAGCAGGAGCTCCTGAACCCCACTGTACCTGAGCTCAGCTTCCACAGAAAGGCACATCAGCCGTCAATTACAGAAGAACAGAAATAGCAACTGGTGAGTTTAATACTAAAATGAGCAAAAATTTTTCCTTTTGATCATGCCTTGTGCCCTCCCAGGGGAGCCCAGGTTTCCTAGAACTGAGAACACAAACCTTCTCCTCCAAAACCCCAAAATTTATTCTTCTCCTTCCAACTGCCTGCAGAGCCAATATTTCCAGGCAGAGACCCAGACCACCCTGATCCTTAGCTCTGTGTATACCTCCAAGCGCCACTTCCATGTCTCAAGAGCACATAAATGGTTCAAAGTGAATAAATCATATACACAATTACAGAATTAGTCTGGTAATGAATTTGGGATTCTGGTTTGACATTATACCTTCCAGCTCTTTATTTGGTATGGAAAGGAAGGACATTGACCGTTCCTGTTCACCTCTATAAAATAAGTGAAGTTGGTTAATTTGCAGCCTAATGATGTGGCAAACAGCCTGCTTTGACTTCTCAGGGATCACTTTTGGTTTTGTTTATCCAGTCTGCTGCAGTAAGAAGATCCCTTAGGGCTTAATTTCCTTGTAACAGGGTGGAAGTGTCAGCCTTCATGCTAGTCACCCAGCTCACCCTGCAGAGTGTAGCTATCAGATGGGCCAGTAACAGATATAGCAGAGAGCATTTCCTGCTCAGCAGCTGACTTCATAAGTGCCTGTTACAGCTCTCACTCTACCAGTGACAAGTGATTTTAGCACTCAAGCTCCATCTAGCACAGAGAGAATGTGTTCAGGGACTCAAAAATCAGTGTTGCGGCTGGGTAGAAAACATCCTGTCATGCAGAAACCCAGTCCTGTGCTTTGTCTGAGAGCAAGAGGGAAACAAGGTCCTTGCCTATCACTTCTCCAGCCTTGCAGATTGACGTGCTGCTCTTAAACAAAACTGGCACAGGGAAAAAGCACCTGCATGCAGGAGGTGGGATGGCACCTACTGAGCAGAGTGGCTCCAGGCTGGGTCCTGCAGAGAGTGGGCATGAGTCCCACGAGCCTGGAGATGAACCTGGTGAGAGCAGGAGGCTCTCCCAGGCTTTTGTCTACCTTTTTGCAGGGCAGTGGTGCAGTGAGCCAGGCTGTGGCCTGTTGAACCTCCCACGCTCATGTCCATGGTGGCTGTTTTATGCTGCTCTTGCACTCAGTGTCTGGGTGCTGCAGTGCAAGCGGTGGGTTGCGGTGGCTGGGAGGATGCTGCATTGTGCAGTGTGAGAACAAGCTGCGGTGCAGGTAATGCCTTAACCTAACTTGCTCATGCTACTGCACGTCACAGTACTGAGCAGTTTCTTGGAGATCTTTCCAGGTGAGGTTGTAGGAAAAGTGTTAGTTTACCCTCTGAAACTCTTGTGGTGCTTGGAAGGGTCCCCAGGTTACCCACCAAATCCTGCTTTAGAGTGCAGTCCAGCAGCTGATGGGGGGAATGCTGCTGGTGTAGTCCACAAGTCACATTTTTCTGCTATTTTCAGAGCAGAGCCTGTGGTTGTGGTCCTCAGCTTTAGATTTTGCAGGTCCAATTTTTTGCAGGTTGCCAGCTGTAGATTTTCCCCAGGATCACCACCTGGAGAGTGACAAGCAATTGTCCACATGGCAGACAGGGAAGCACCACAGGTGGTCTTGAGGCGTATGGCCAGCCTTAGACCAAAATTAAACTGATGGGAGCACAAGGAAAGAAACTACCAGGAGTGGCAAACGTGATGGAAAAGTGGCCAACCCTGACCTGCCCCTGGAGTAGTAAGGCAGTAATGGGAGAAACTACAGGGAAAAGGTGTGGAAGGAGACTATCAGGGAGCCTCAGGGTGACCAAATGACAGAAGATATTGAAAGGGGGGAAATGCTGATTTACTGGTGTCGCTGAGCACGGGTGTAGAGTCAGCAAATAAGGCTGCTGAGTCAGCAGGATGGGGGCAAATGAGGAAAGCATGAATGGAGCAGATTGTTTATTTCAGAGGGGAAAAGTGGGGGAAAGGCAGTATCAGGCCAATGACATTTACTGGGTAGACTGAGCGTGTCAGGCCAGTTACTGTAGGGACCTACGGGGGGTGTGTGTGTGTGTGTGTGTGTGTGTGTATATATGTACACAATGGTCTTTAGCCCAGCCATAGGTGCCCACTAAGCACATGTTTAACTACATTTTGGAATCCTGGTGGTTCCTAAAACATCAGAAAATTAGAATAAAAACATCTACTGAATCATCTTAGACGGTTTTCACCAAAAGATCACTCCTCATCCCTAAAGCATATTCAAGCCTTCCACTGCAAATAAATTACTCCATACTTCAGTAAAAAGAAATAATTTTTAAAAATGCAATTTAACAAGTACTGTTAAATATAATCTTTTTCATAACCCATTAACACTTTCCTTTTGCTTGACTGAGTCCTCTGACCACTTACAAAATTCCCAACACTTGGTGGAGATACTAACTGGCCAACTGTTAAAAACAAAAAAAATAAGTCCTGATGTTTATGGAAGCTTTTTAAATACTCACACATACTTGGAACAACAAAAGCAGCTTGAAAGTGCAGTGACTGCTGAATGCTTAACAGCCCTAGGGAGGACGTAGCTTTGCGTCTCGAACCTTGTTAACAGCTTATGAGCACACCACTTAGCTCACACAAATGCTTCCACCGAAGAGCATGACTTCGCATGCACAAAGCAAAGTACTTACATGACACATGTCGAAGCACCCTACCTAAGAGGCATTTTCACTAGTTACAGGGATCTCACCCAAGAGCCGCAGTTCAATGCTATATTACGGAGAAAAAGGAAAAGGCAGCACACACAAATCCTTTGCGTCAACCAACCTTGTTTGCTGATAATCAACACTCCTTGACACACGTTTTCATATGCAATACAACCAGTCACAACTGGGAACTCCGTAAGTTAATCATGGAAGGAAAATTTCGAGTACCAGTGTAATAGAAACACCTCCCGCTCTGCAGGTAAAATAATCCTTACAAACCCGACATACCTAGTTGCGGTGAACCGGAATGGGCAGGAGATGGCGCTCACGTTCTGTAGGTCTTGCCAAGGTTTGACTACGGTCTGGTGCACAACACGACGCCTATAAAGAGAAATGCTTTAAAATATTGTACTGGCTTACGTTATTTAATAGGCAAGAAAAAAGCCTAAAGCAGACCTCAAAGTACGACTTCTAACCAAACCCAGTATTATGGCTGTTCTTCAGAAATTGAGATTTCTGTTGAATATCTGCTGCATATCTCTTAGGTGTCAGGTACGGAATATTCTTGCTCACAACTCCAGTGGGCACTTCTCAGGACTTGTCTGAAGCAGCCACTTCCATAGTTAACCCTTTCCTGACATCTTTTTTCCTCCAGATACCCCTGGTAAAGTTCCACTGACTTACCAGAGGTGAGGGTGTGTCCCATAATATTTTAGTACCTTGCCTTTTCTCATTGGAATTGAGGTCAGAATCAGGTGTGAAATCAGAACAGTTGGAGTTTTTTTCCCAACTAGACCTTAGACAGCAACAAAACCCTGATGAAACTCACTAATTCATTGTTATT